GGGATAGGGAGTTCCAGAAGCTAGAGAGCAGGAGGTCATGGGAGTAAGATGGTTTGGTGGTATTTTAAGACAAGGCTGGTGTTGTAGCCTGAGAATTGTGGATTACTTTGTCTGTTGTTAGTATTTTAAATTTTATTGGCAGAGTGGGGTGGTGGACACTGAGCATTTGCTAAGGTGGATTAGACTGGCAGCATCATTCATGATAGACTGAAGGGGGTAGTCTGTGTAAAGGTAGGCCAATCAGACGGGAGTTCCAAAAGTCAAGGCGAGAGATAACAATGGAGTGAAAAAGTATCTTGGGTGAGTCATTTGTAAAGAAGAGGCATATTTTGAAAATGTTACGGATCTGAAGGCAGCAAGATTGGACAGTGATTGAATGTAGAGTCGAAAGGAGAGTCCAGCATTAGCACCTTGGCATCAGAGGATGGAGTAATAGTTTTACAAAGCAGAACCACTTAAGGATTTAACTCTTTTATTTCTTCAGATCTGGGCAAACAGTGTGGCACTAATGTAATCCATTTGCACGGGACTCCTCAGAGTTCCCACTTCTGACAGGCTGGAACAGCAAGACATCACCCTCCTTGGAACTTTAGGCAAGGCCCAGTGTGGCCCAGCAAGGATACAGTCTCGCTATTAATCCTACATTTAAGACTGGCCTACCTCCCTCCATCACCGCACACAAATTCACGTTCAATAGAACCCCCTCCCATTTTCCATATGCCAGAGCCATTTTTTGCACAGAAGGAGGAGGAGTGTCGGGGTGCTAGCAGTGAGCAAAAGGACATTTGGGGGGGTCTTCTAGGGCAGTGTTTTTCAACCTTTTTTGTGCAAAGGCACACTTTTTTCATGAAAAAAATCACGAGGCACACCACCATTAGAAAATGTTAAAAAAATTTACCTCTGTGCCTATATTGACTATATATAAAGTAATTCTCTTGAATAGGAATCAAATAAACACAAAGAAATTATTTTATAATTACTTTATTATGAAATAATAAAGTATTTTATAATTGTTCATATTTCTGTTTACTTACTCAGTGCGAAACCTGGGCCTGTTTGGCTGAACACAAAGCTGATATTCTGGCAGGAATCGAAGAAAGACACACACGTAGCTCTTCGTCAACAGCTCTCTCTCTGTCTTTAGTTTTTATAGCAATCAGGTTTGAAAAGCTCATCTCACACAGATATGTAGTGGAAAATGGGAGCAATGTCAAAATAGCTTTGTTTGCCAGAACGGGGAACTCCTTGGCAGTATCCAACCAAAAACTGTCCAAAGGTAGATCAGCAAATCTTAGCTTGAAACCACGATTTTGTCTCAGTTCAGTTAGTTCCTCCTGCTCCTGTAAAGTCATGTCCTTTCCACCAACTGATGCTGAGCTATAAGGGTCCCTAACCCAGTCAAGGCATTCAGTGGACACTGAAGAGAAATAAAATGACAACTTCTCCTCGAGAATTTTTAAATGTTTTATTGCGGCCGGCTCACTATAATTGGGGGCAGGATGATCCATTAAAGTGAATGGCACCGTAGCCACAGCCAATCGAACGCACGGGATCGCAAGGCACAATTATGCCTGTGGTCCGGTCAAAATGCTGCTTGCGTTCGGACCGGAGCGCAGGCATAATGTGCCTTGTGATCCTGTGCGGCCGATCGCATTGCAGCCGTTGGGAATGGTTACGGTGCCATTCACTTCAACAGACCACTATGCCCCCTCCTGCCCCACAACATAGTTAGCCGACCGCGATGCGCTGTCTGGTGTGAACGAGGCTTTAATGTGATCACAGCAATTAGTTTAGTGCACACTCTTCATACATTTAAGTGCTGGCCAAGGCCTGAGTATTTAAGCACCACACCCCTGGGTTGAAAGTGTAAAGTGTATACATATCTCAAATAAAAAGACATTTTTATTCAGAATTGTCTTTTGGCACCATTAAAGCCCCACTTTTTTT